GAATGGAAGTGGCTGCTACTGGAGAAGGTAAAAGCAAAATCAGTTCTAATGACTGGTCAAGACTTCAGACCCACTCGGTCTGGGAAATGCGAGCCGCAGAATAAGAGTAATTATTGGATCATAATGGTGACCCTAATCAACTTTCAGAAGATCAACTAAAGCGCAAAGGTCGACTGATTGAAATAGTAAATGGTGGCAAGGAGCTTATTGGAATCGTTTTGTGAAATGTTGTCAAGAATATTACAATTCCACCGACCAAAAAAGATTGTCTATACCTTTTTGGTCCACCTTTTTTCAATCACTGCCTATCAGGATATAATTGTAGAAATGCAGTTATTGCATTGCGAAACATAGCAAGACTGGCCAGCGAAAGTCAACTCCGGACTTCGAGGATGTGTTTTAACGAACTCAAAAAAAATCAAAAAAAATTTTGCCGTAAAGAATGAACTTGACACTTCAACCCCATCACTCATTATTCAATAATTAAAAAACCTTTGTATGAATTTAAGCAACAAATACGTTCATTCCGTTCTATTCCATCATATAATTACAAAATCAAATATGTGACACAAAAAAACATACTTTGAAAAGTCTACTATTGTCTACATGGCTTCAAATGTACAGTATAACAATGTGATATTGCAGAACTTGCAAAAACTAAAAGGTCTTGAACATTTTAATTGGAGGGAATTGAAGCATCGAGTTTCTGAATATGGTATTTCACAAACATCCGACAGAGTGACAGCCAAATCAAGCATGTTGTCAGAAGATCAGTGTAACATAATTTTATAGAATATCGAAGTTGTGGCCGGTCTTGAGAAGCACACCCAAGAGAAATATTTGAAAATTTTGAATTTATTAAGGAATATCATTATTATCGTAGAATCAAAGCAAGAAGATTCAAATATACGGCTCAGAAATTAACACTTGAAAATAATACTTTTGGACAAGCTGATTATGGAATTTTTGTCATCATGTTATGGTTTGGATGAAAAGTTGTCTTTGTCAATTTTAAGCGCTCTCATTTGTTTCATCATGCTGTATTTAATAGAGTGATTAACAATGGTAGAGGCCGCAACAAAATTCATATCACGAAACAGCTGCTGTTGTGTATAATGGAGAAGAATTTTGACCTGCTTTGGATTTGAGAGAAAAATATGGAGCCACGTATTGGAGTGAAAAACGGCTCAAGAAATTGTATTCATGGAATGCTTCTCATCTCAAAGAGTCTCCACAAGAACAACAATCATCAACAATCAAGTACACAAGTGTCACAAAAGAAGAGAAAACTTTAATTGAAAATTCAAAACTCTCAATCCAATATTTTCCATTCTTTGCTTGAACCCAATGACTCAAGTGAGCATAATATAATTCCATCCTTGTGTCATATGATATCACTAAATTTGATGCAATGCAACAGTAAGGAACATTGTCAAAATCTTGAGGTAGATCCACTTGAAATCTTTTTCTAAGATTGTCTCCAACATTCTTTTGATTTACAGTCATATAATTTTTGGCCCATTCACCGTCTCCAAAGGAAGGAAAATTTGGATATTCAAATTCATTGATTATGTGACGATTAATTTCAGTGTCTCCTGTTCGATTGACCCAAGGAGAATATTGCTCTATTCTTGTATACTTTTGTGTTTCCATTGTACGACACATATACATATCAAAGGTTTGTTCTTTGGGCATGTTGTCGATGAATTGAATCACACAATGATGATTAGTTGTTTCGGTTATTTTTTGATGTTGTTTGATCAACCGATAGAGTTGTTGAGTTGACTCTGTGCATTAAAAAGTGAAAATTCAAGGAAAACAAGAAAAAACCATGAAATCAAGCAAAAACAAGGGAAATTAATTCAACATCGATGTGCGAATTTGATCCAAATCGTGTTTTTTCGTATTTGTTTCATTTTTGTCCTTTCTTTCAACACAGACAGTTGTATCTGCAAAGTAGACAAAAACTTTCAACAAGGATTCATAGTCATAGATTTTGAGATAGGTTGAGGTTAATCTGTGTGTCCAATGTTCAGAATATTGTTCTGCGCAAAATGTTGAAGTGCCTGCAAAGTTTGAGTGGTGTTCTTCAATCCTTACAGAGAATCCAAAATCAATTAATAATGGAGTACTATCTGTTTTCATTATATTTTGAGGCCTAATATCTCTATGTAACACACCTGCTTGGTGAAAACTTTTTACCAATTCCACCAAAGCTTTCATTTCTGATTTAGATAAAGATGTACAGGGATAACACTTTTCCATCACAATCCAATAATTTCCATGCTCAACAATTTTTGGAAGAGGATTCACTCCTTTCTCGTCCAAAAAAGTAATAGTTTTTGTTTCT